ACGTCACACACGAATACCTCGGGTGTGACGGTTGGAAGGTTGCCAACTGACGGTATAACACGCACCTCACATGAAACCTGCGTTAGAACATCGGCGGCTATAATGCATCAACGCATCCTCAACAGAAACTACGTCACACACGAATACCTCGGGTGTGACGGTTGGAAGGTTGCCAACTGACGTTATAACACGCACCTCACAGACAGCCGATTGTGTGTTTGTTTGCAGTGGCCGACTGGTGGACTGAGAGTCAGGCTGCAATTACTCCTTCTTAATGCTACCTCCATGCACTCCTCTTCCGTGGGAGCCGACCTAGGTGTGACTATACGTCTAGGAACGACAATGTCTCCGCCGGCCATCTGCCCCTCCGGTCTTCTTGGCCTGCTTAGGACACCGTGCCCAGGTAAGGAAGGAAAGTGTGGCAGATGCAGCGCACACCTGCGTTCACCACAACCTAATTCACACGTACGTAAGTCACTGTCACTGTGTTGTGTGGTGGACACGGTGGGCCTTATCGAAGCCGACTGGAAGCTTTGTCGCTATTAATGCAGACTTTCCCAGGAGACGATTGTTGACAGGCTTCCGCTTTTGCTCCTTTTCCATCCGCGCGGCCAAACTTTTGTAGACGTATCAGAGTGCTGCTTAATTCAAAAATTCGCGAAATCTTGTCATTTTCATCGATTTGGATGGCAATGTTGTTAATAGTCTGACCCTTTAGTTGCAACTGGGGTCGGGGTGTCTTAAATTATCAACCTATTCAAGCGTTAAGTCTTCGAGATTTTTATTTTTTAACTAAATTCATGAGCGACGGACATCTTTTTTTCGTTACCGCTTTAAAATACGTGGCCAAGAGTTTGTGCCATTGCAGAATAAGTTCCATTTGGAACGAGAGCTGTTAGTCTTCTGCAATAAATATATTTTATTCATTTGACCCGATTTTGAAACACTTGGCGGCGTCAGTGAGATTCGAACCCACGAAAACAAGGCTTCAGCCCAGCCAATGTTCTAACTACGAGAACTATGAGGTCCCGCCCGTAGCCGTAATTCAACCCAAGTGTGAATAAATATTCATGGCTTCAGATGGGGCCTCGCAGCTCAGTTGGTTAGTGTGTTGGCTGTACTGAAGCCTTCCCTTGCTGTCGTATAAAGTATTCCCATTTTTAAATGCTCACCACAGGCGATAGCCATTAACCACAGAAATAGGCCATCGGGAGTCAACGAATCAAACCTCGTAAGAGAAACCTAGCTACAAGTTCAGTTACTTCGACTAGCTCCTTCGCACGAGAATTATTGACCCACATTTTCGAAGTTGAGTCTTCCAAAATTTCTGCCTTAGTCCGAAATATCGCAGGCGTGAATTCTGTTCTTCCATTATGATTACCGTGGTAAATATACTAGCAAACAGAGAATGTCTCAGTTATCCAGTTTCCATTGGTCCGACAAAACTATCCAGCCGATCAGGTACTTGTTTGCGCTTCCGAAAGATGGCAAAACTTACCTGCGAAACTGCCTTCCCATTTTCATTAAATCGGATTCTTTGCAGTGCGGTGACTTATGCCTATAGCAATCACAGAATTAAGGAAATAGGAACACGGGCCTCAAAATCAAGATAATTCTTTATTATTCTTGAATGTTCCTTCCTATACCGAAAACAAAAGAAATTGCCGAAAGTTGAGATACGCAAGTGCATCAAGGATCGAGCGCTCGCCAAGAAATAACGTAGAAAAAAATACGTCTACATATGTATCAACCCCGACCAAGGTGTGTTAAAAGATGATAACCAAAAATCATGTCTGGAACGCAAGAGAGAGAGTAATAATCTGGCCCTCTCATCTTTCTTCCCAAACAGTA